AGCAATAAAGTGGATCGCATTGAATTAGTGGGCAAGGAGAAGTGTTTTTGGAGTGTTCCTTGCTGTCTGGTGGTCTCTTGATGCTTTAGGAATACTTGCTGCGATTCTGGGTTATTTTTCTGTCACAGGATCACGAAGCAGTAAATGGTATGATATCCCTTTTCCATTACAGAGACAGTCAATAAGCATCCTAACATCAGCCGCTGTACAGAAGACTAGATTTACAGCTGTGTGGTGAGCATAAAACAAATGATGAGAGGATTGCAAGGCTCCTACATCAGGCAAACATGGACAGTAGCAAAACTTGTATCTTTTTGTTTTGTTCTGAAATTTGCTGACTTGATTAATATGGCCTGATGGATGCCAAGCTGTTCAGCATAAACTCAACCATATTTCCCCTTCCCCCACCTCCCCGGCTTGTCGTTGATTTGTTTCTGAATGATTTCTTATGTAAAGCAGTAACTGCAAAGAAGGAGCTGTAGAAAATATCCCCTCCTCCCTCCCCACCCCATAAATTTATGTTATTTTACATGCTTCCTGCTGCGTTTGTCTGGTTGCAAACTCAGGCTTCTCTAACCTCACCCGATTCCTGGGAGTTTTACTCAGACAGCCATGATTTAGTGGGACATAAAAGTGTCTCTTGCTCTGATGTCCCCATTGATCTAAATGAGAGACAAAACTCTAAGGAATATGAAAGATGATGTTTCTTTTTGCCACTGCTACACAGGATTTAGAAAAAAATCCTGCAAGCAGGTGCCATCCTCCATTTAACTAAGAAGAGTGGGATTTAGCAGGGAAAACATCACAGTGCGACCTGTGCTAATTAGTGTGCGAGCATTGGCGAGTAGGCAGTGTCACGTGCTTTACCCATCAAATGCATTTTTTTTATTCTAAATCTAGCAGAGGGGAATGTGAGGGACCAACTTGAGTGTTTTTGAATCTTCCATGGTTTGATGGACTTTGGGATGCAGGAGATCTGGCACTAGCATATTACCTGTGTCTTGGGTCCACAGCCAGATGTGAATGGTGCAAGGTAGCACCCAGTGCAAGGTAGGGAAGATATTTGTGAAACAGCCTTTTAGTAATGAGGGAAAGCTGGAAGTGGAGAACTTTATGTTCAAAAGAAGTGCTGTTCTTTATGGGTAACTGAACTTTTAGTAATGAGGGAAAGCTGGAAGTAGGGAACTTTATGTTCAAAAGTGCTGTTCTTTGTGGGTAACTGAGGTGTCTATTTTGTTGCTTTCTCCATGGCTTAACGTTTGAATGAAGTTTAAAAGATCTTGAAAAGCATGCAGTGTTCCCTTGGAAATCCTCCAGCTTTGCTGGACTGAGGCTTGTGGGCAGACCACGAATGGTTGGAGCTGAGGAATAGAAATAAAACCCAAGATTGCCTTACTAGCAAGCATGATGAGCTGCAGAAGACTTCTAGCTCGCCTCGCATAAGTAGGTCTTTTTTTTTTTCTTTCTCCTCACACTGACATTTCAGGTTCTAAAAATCTTGTCGAAGATCTCGGAAGAAAAGGTTTCTTCATGGAGATTCTTGTATTCATTTGGGTGGTTAGACTCAATTTTCCCCGAGAACGTTCTTGAATATCACATTTCTCTCATTAATTGCTAATCCCCAAAGAGGCAAACCCACAGTCTACGCTGAGTTGCTCAGCTGTGTCAAAGCAGAAGTTCTGGCGGCTTTTGTGCACATGGTGATTCAGACCTTAGTGTATCCTTCAGGATTGAGTCCCATTTGTGTAATGAGCTAGATGTGAATCCTAAATTTGGAGTGATTTGGGATCCAAATTTTAAGGTAGTCTCTGGAATTTGCTCAACTTGCCTGAAGGACACTACTGTGGATGGAGGAGGAAGATGTAGTCCTGGGGATGGTGTGCTGGCTTGATTAGCTTGGAACAGGCTGAAGGCAGGAGATAGTTTCCCCCCTGCATTTTTCCTGCTAGGAGAAAATGCAGCCTCTCTTAGTTAAAGAGGAGGGTTTTCTGTTGTGCTTTAGGGTGCAGGCAGATGGTGATCCCCTCCTGGAAAACAAAGCCTGCACGGGTTGTTGCACAGACTCTATTTCCCTTTTGCTGGCTGCCAGGAGAAGCTGGGAGCTTGGATGCTCACACAGATCTGGCAGGAGATGGCAGATCCTCTATTTCTTAACTGCCACCTCAAATTCCTCTAATATTTTTATTAGGAAGAAAGCAGCCAGCTTTTGTGTCTCAGCCTGAGTTGTAAGGGTAAAGCACCAAATCCATATCCGTTCCTTTTGTGCTTGAACTTTTCAGAAGAAAAGAAAACCCCTTCCTATCTCCTACTTTTTTCCTGCTGTTTTTATCAAGTCCTTTGCTGGCCCTTCTTGTTATGTCTTAGCTGAAACACTGTGATTTTCTTTCTTTCTTTCTTTTTTCCTTCTTTCCCCTCTTTGCCTTGCAAGGGAATGCAAGGTGATTTCTGAGGTAAAGACATATTTATTGATACGGCCGCTTGACCATGATAACCAGCTGTGGCACTTGCAGAAGCCACTCAAGAGTGTTCTGTGTATGCCAAGCCTTGGAGAGCAGTGGCATCACATGGGTTAACAACACATTTTAGGTCCGCTCTTTCCCCTGATTTTTCTGTCTTCCCCCTGTGTCTTAATTCAGCAATATTTGGGTGAAGGAGAAACACGGTAGGAGTGGAACTGGGTGAATGCGAACGATAGGTGAACCTCAAAGCACTTGGTCTGGGTTTTTATCCAAAGCATTTTGATCAGGAACAGAGCTCTTTATACCCCTGGAAGTGTGCCCAGAGGGAAGGCTGAACAGAGGTTCATTGCTTAAAATTGTGTGTATATATATATATATATACACACTATATATATATATATATATATAAATTATATATATATTTTCCCCTTTGGCCACCTTTTCTTCAGCTTAGCAGATACTGACATACATGGAAAGCAGGTTTCCAGGATTTCAGGGTCCATTGCTATTAGCCCATCACTACTGCTTGGTATTAAAGAGATCTTCTGAAATGCTGTTCAGCAGTCGGGAGAGTATGTTCCCTTTGGAGAGGGCTTGGATTTCTTCAGGGAGACCAATAGTTAAATTGAAGAATACATTCTTTTTTCCCTTTTTCTTTTTTTTCCTTCCACCAACATACTTGTTTAACTGAAGGAGATTTGTACAGAGCTGTGTTTCTGTGCATATTGTTGCTTCCCCCGTCTCATTGCAGAGTCTGAAGGGTACTTGCTGTTGCCTGAGAAACACCTACTACAATTAAATATAGAGTCAGTGTTGGTTAGTCAATGGGCTTGAAGCTATGTCTGGAGACGCTTCTTGCGTTCCTGCTTTCTTTGCTTATCGGGGCAGGATTTGCTCGGCAAAGGCTCATTGTAACTCGGTGAACGCTGCTAATGTTGCATGTCTAATCTGTCGCGAGCGGGGAAGGCTTGCTCGCTTTTGCTCCTTCTTCCCTCGGCGCATCTATTCGCCGGAAAGCCAGAGAGTTGGATTAAATTGTTTAAAGTAGTTAAAGACTCCCCACGGATATGTGTGTGTATGAGTGTGTGTACAAATGCTGCATTTCCATCTGTATTTCCCTGAGCTGCCATCCAACGCAAGTAGCTCCTGTGCAAGACCAGCCCTTCGAGGGAGCTCAGAGGCACCCTGGTATGTTTTACCGTGGAGCTTAGTAGGCCCTTATGTGCTCGTCTGTTTGTTCTTTGCATATACTGTATCAGGCTTCTGGTTAAGATAAGGTTGCATTAAAGCTACACCGGTGCCTCACTGGGAGTTATATTTGCTCCTTGAAGAGCTGGGGTCTCCTAAGGGGGCTTCTTCCGGTATGGCCATCTGAATTCTGCTCCATATGTGTCCTCGCTCCTGCTGTCTGCTGTGTTTATGCTCCGGGAACCTTTGGCACGCCAGGATGAAGCTGCTTCCTCCTCTGTGCAGCTCCGATGGGCAGAAACGTGCGTAAGCAAATGCCCAGCCGCAGAGGCGAAGCCTGCCTGGAATAATGAGTCCTGAAGCCCTGAGAGGTGCTGGCGTGAGCAAACGTGCGTGAGGCCAGGCAGGGCCCACCGTGCGAGGGCGATGCAGGCGACGAGGTGGCGGGGCCTGGGGCAACGGGTTACCATCATGGCCCGGCCTGGGTAGTTGTTCTGCAGCCAACACCTCCTCCTGGATGTTGGTCTAACAGATCCCTGAGCCCGGGGCTGCCCTGGATCCCTTTGGTCCTTGTCGCCCGGTCCCCAGCACTGTCTCGTGCCTGGCCCCAGCGGTGCCACCCTGGCGCCCTGCCGAGGCCCAGTGGCATGAGGTGGGAGCTGTTGCCATGGGGGGCTGGAGCTGCTCAGAGCAGGCCGGGGCGGCCTCCTTGAGTCCCTTCCAGCCTCCTTGAGGGTTTTGCTCTGAAGATCACCCTGGAGTATTATTATTATTATTTTCTTCTCTATATTGGCTGTGAAGTGCAAAGACACCATGGCAATACTCCACTGGGATGTTTCAGAGATGGAAATAGATTTGGAAAAATCTGCAGAGAGAGAGAGAGAGAGATAAAACATTTATTAGAACTGTTTAACCGAGGGTCATTTTGCATTCGTTTCACTCGATAGCACATGGGAAGAGAATTTGTGAGCACCGCTTAAGACCAAAAACTCATTTCTGAGCACGTATTCATCTTGAAAAGGCACAGGCAATATGGAGTTCAGCCTGCAGTGGCAAACTAGGAGGCGGTCGGTGCTCATCTGGTGCCTGCTTTGCCTTGTGTGCATGCAGGTGCACACAGGGTGCATAAAGGTCCTGCACATGGTCCTTTAGCATAGGAGCTAAAGTAGCTCGAGGTTTTTTGCGCTATAGCACTAAAATCACGCAAGAGCACCTGAAATGGGTGTTTGCACAAAGCGAGGGGTGCCAGCCGTGGTCCTGAGTGGTGCGTCCAACACAAATGCCCCTGAATACAGCCGTGGTCCTGTGCATGCACTGCTCACCCCATGTCTCTCTCTGCCTGTTGGGCTCCAGGTGCAAAGAGCTGAAGTACGCCAAGGACCTCCCCCAGATCTCCATCATCTTCATCTTCGTGAACGAGGCGCTGTCGGTCATCCTGCGGTCGGTGCACAGCGCGGTGAATCACACGCCCGCTCACCTCCTGAAGGAGATCATCCTTGTGGACGACAACAGCGATGAAGGTAGGCAGCGCGGTGGGCCGCTTGGACAGGGAGGATGTGCTGGCTGCTCCAGGCAGTCCGGCTCACCCTGTCCTGTTTCTTCAGCTTGTATAGCACAAAAGCAACAGGATCGTACTAAAGTTAAAATCTGAAATTACTGTTGTTTGAAAGTTTAGTTAGGAACTAGAGGACTAGAGGAAGATACCAGAGCAGATTGTTTTATTTCTATTTTCTGTAGCATCTGGAATCCTGGCTTCACCTGTAGCCTTGGTTTTAATAGCATCTTTGGTGTCTGTAGAGTTGGGATGAGCAAGACCCTGAAGTCTAGTGATCTGTTCCTGTCCTGACTCCTTACGGTGGCTTTGGCAAGATATTTTCTCTGGGCATGTCTCGCTTTTCCTGTATAAAGTCAAGTCCCAAGCTCTGTAAATGGCTGGGACTCTGTAGTAATAAAGAACTGATCCTACTGGCATACAAGAGTATTTCTGATGCAAGAAAGAAAAGCAAAGAGGAGGAGGAGGCACACTCATGTCTTCTAATTCAGCTTTTTTCTTTTTTCTTTTTTTTCTCTTAAAACACCTTCCTTTCCAGCTTTTGGTAATACACATCTGTGGGGGGCTTAAGTCACATGCAGAAGTGTTTTCAGGCTCGGTTCTTCCCAGATTTATTTTTTTCCAATATTTATTTGGTCATGCCATATAATATATGGGGATGGAGTAGGTAAAATCTTCATGAAGACTAGGAAAAGGTTAAATTACTTTGATTAGTGTCGCCTTCTTTCCTTTTGTGTACTGTAATGTTATTAAAAAGAGTAATAGACGTGGGCTGTGTATCTTGTGATCAGAAGTGAGAAGAGGAGGGTGCAGTAAGAGGAGAGTTTGTCTTTTTCCAAGAGCAAGTCTGCGAGGTTGCTCTTTTCGTGGTGATGAGATGGAAAAAAAATAAGAAGCTCAAGCCTGTAAAGATAGGCACTGGAGTACCACACTAATGAGCACTATAGAAAGCTGATGAATTATAATTACCCATAAAAGGAAGAGGAGGCCAGTTCCTCAGCTGATGGAAGTCAGTGAAGCTTTAGTGAAGCTAACGAATGCTGGGATGACATGTGCTAGTGAAGCCCTGGGATTTCAGAGCCAGAACCCTTTGGCCAGCTAAGGACAAGTGTGGATGATCTGTCTTTGCAGTTGTTGATGTTTCCCCTTGCTTAGATGGTTAGAAATAACAGCATGAAGTACTGCACCTCCAAGTTCAGTATCAGTGGAATGAAGAGAACACGCCTTTAGACAAAAGCCACTGGTGGTGATTACTGAGCTGTCTACAAGCTGTCTACAAAGAAACAGGTTTCTAAACAGTCTCCACCAGCCATTCGGGATGCAGCACTGAGGCTGATGCTGTACCAAGTACTCTGGAGATGCTTATGAAAGGCATAGGACTATGGAAGAAATCCTTTCAAAAAGCATCCCTCTTCTCAAATAAGCTGGGACTGCAGCTGGCACTGAGAATGCAAAATGGAACCTCTTTATGTGCTGCCCAAAGGTAAGGCATCACCCTCCGTGGGCTGGCTGTGAGGAGGACAGTGCTCGGGGGCTTTGGTGGAGCGGCTGGGGGTTGGATGGCAGCAGGAGCAGTGGGAGGAGGTTTCCAAAGCTTGCAGCATGCTCAGGTATTTCCAGCTACGGGTGGCGGTTTTATGTGCCTGTTTGGCCTGGGCTGGCCAAGGGGTCTGGTTCATGCCCAAGTGCCTTGTTGTACCCATCTACAAACCCTGTTCAGAGCTGTGCTAAGGGGCAAGAGAAGGCTAAACACCCAGGTGGGTCTGTCCTCAGCAGCGTGATGCAGGAGTAAAAGTAGAGCTAGTGGAGGCAGCATGGCAAGAGACCAAGGAGATGATATTAGCTGGGAGGGTTAGTTAATAATGTGAGCGCTGCTGCTTTTGGGCCTTTATAGGCAGCCTGTCAAATGAGACTTCTAAGGAGGGATTTAGAGGAAAATAATGAGGGAACTTGGCAGATGTTATGGAGAGCTCCTCCCAAGCATGCAACAATCTGGTTTCCTCCTATAAAAAATGCTGCAAACCAACACGCGCCCCTAGGATGTGTGTGTGTTCACTCACTGCAGAGTCAAGGAGTCTCAATGACATGAAAGAATTATTAATGGCAATAATGTTGTGTCGTAGTTCACATTAATGGCAGGAAGTAATTGTGAGCAGCAATAGCAACATCTTACAGTTGATGCTTGGGATATTACAAACAAAGTAGTTGTAATAAATGGGTTTGATTGCTACAGAAAATAATTACAGAGAATTAGGTTCTCCTGAGCTCTGAGATTCAGGGATGAACCCTCGCGGTGCGCACGGGGCTGCGTGGGTGTTGTGCTGGCGGTGGCCGTGCCTGAGCAAGATGAGAGCTGGCAGAGCCTGCTGGCGAGGGGCTGTGTCTATCCATGAGACTGTTTGTTTGGTGTGTGGCTTGTAGCTGTCGCCCAGGTCTCCAAAGCCTCAGTTTGCCCTTAGGTACCCCACCAAGGAGTCACACAGCAAGAGCAAAACCTTTGGTGCCTTGTGCTTGTAGAGTAGCACAAATGGCTTCCAAAACCTCCGTAGACTTTTCTCTGCACCAGCCTCTTCTGCTTCTTCATGGCTGAGCTGTAATTATATATAGGTGTGAATATATTGTAATGAAAATCCCTCCTTGAAGGGGAAAGCTTGGGGAGTTGTAGTCTGAACCCCTCTCCTCCCTTGAGCTGTGCATTGTACGTTGTAAAGCCTCTTTTTTTGTTGTCTGCTTTTGTTTGTGTTTGCCGTTGCAAGAGTCTAATTACAAAGCCGGTGCGCAGGTTGTGTTTCTGAGTGATAACGTGTTGCCTCGGTGGTTGGAGGAATACAGCACAATGCCCCTGAGACGCTGTGTTATCTTGCAGTCGCACGCTTTGAGTCTGTTGCTTAATCATCACCGTCTTTTTTTGCCGTCTGTTTTTTAATGTTTTTAATCTGGGATAATATCTCTTTGAAGAGAAAACCTTAGTATTAAAGAAAGCCTCCTGATAAAAGACTACTTAAATTAGCTGGCTACATCCAGTGATCTATGCCACTGGTTGTAACTTACCTTGGTGTATCATATTAGCTGTGACTAGATATATCACTTCTGCAACTCGTTTCAGCAGCAACAGCAGTGGTTCTTGTGCCCTCTCTTGGGAGCCAACTCTCCCCTTTCGCGTCTGCATGTCTAGGGCAAGGTTTTAACAGGCTAGCGAGAAGCCGAGTCATATCTCTGCTCTTCATACGCATCCATCCAACCTGAGGTTCTCATTATTCCAGGTCCTCAAACTATAGATGAGCTGCTTAATTGCAGGCACCTAGTGCTACTGCACTTACGTTCAAGTCAGAGTTCTTCAGACCATGTCTACTTGCAGAGTAGAGCAAACCTTGCGTGCTTTTCTCTATTGCTTTGGATTTTGCTGAACAAGGTGAATTCCAAGACTTGATACAGAATTCACCTAATGGGACCAACTTTGCCTGTAACCTTATTATAGAGTTGATTAATGCGCGATTCATGCACCAGCTCCCTTTCTCACAGTTTCCTCCTAAATATTTGCAAGTAAACATGAGAGGCTTTTGGAGACCGACCTAGCTCTGAGTGTCTCTGCAAAAATGTTATCATTTGTTTATTGCCTGTTGAAGTAATTTCTTGGGGGTTACTGTTGCAGAAAAGCTACTTTTCATCAGTTTGGTGCCTTAGTGAGGTGGGAGGGAAGGAAGACATGCCAGGCAGGTGGGTGTGCTGGTGGCACAGTATGCTGCAGTGTCTGCGGTACCTGGTGGATCTCACTGCGTGCTTCTGATTTTCAGCCCTGAGCTAAAGAGGAAAAACTGCTATTACAGTGTGCAAGACTGCAGTGGGGAGAATGGCAGCAAGTTGTCCGGATCACACGATGCTTTCTGCTCTGCTCCAGTATGTGGAAAGCCCTGAAAACAGCAGATCCAAAGGCAAGGCTGCCAGTTTGTGCAAGCCGACTGCCTTCAGCGAGCGTGTTCCCTTGTGTCCCTTTGTGGAAGTCACTTAGTTCCTGGCGTGCAATTTCAGACCTGTCAGCCGTCCTAAGCAATACAGATCTGGGACATGTTGCAAAGATTATGGCCAGACCTTTCTTAAGTTTGTGAGATGGGCAGAAAACTTTCCTGCTACTGACCTTAATGCACCAGCTCTCGGCACTGCAACCCGTAGCTGTCTGTTCTGCCAGTGCCACGTCAGGGCAGCGTCAAGTTGTTTTCCTGATATGCTAATGGCACTCACTCAAGTGACTGCTGAGTGAAGGAAAACACAGGGTAAAATTAGGAATCACTTCAAATGACTTGGATTAAGATTAGATTTGAGAGCGTGTTCTGATTCCCTGTGCACCGGAGTTCACGTGGAAGCAGAAGAGCCCTGCAGGTCTCCCAGACTGCTCACCGCGGTCCCCTCTTCCACACTGCTGCAAAGGGGAGGAGAAAGCGGCCAAGGCTTGATTTACATGTGGGAATTTTTCAGAGCATTCCCAGGGACCAGGATTTCAAACCAGTTTCAAACCAAATGAAAACCTCAGTTTTTCAGTAAAGAGGAATATGCAGCATCCCCTCCATTAGGGACTGCCCAGGTATGTAACACAAGGTAGTTCCCATTGAGCTGCCTGCAGCCTGGCCTGACCCGGAGCAGAAGGGGAGCCAAACCCAGCAACTTGTTAGCAGAGAGAGGCCTTGGGACCACGTCTCCCGTGTCCATTCAGTGCTTTCCCATCTCCGACGGCTTCTCCCGGTGCACGTTGCAGCACGTGGCGCGCTCGGCGCGTTGCAGGCTGCGCAGCGGATGCGTCTGCTGTGCATGGCAAGGGGAAGGCAGGCTAACTGATGCTGATACTGGGATAAGAGAGCCCTCCGTGGCTGATGGCCTGGGTTAAGAGCAGAGCCCTGCTCCAGCTCAGCTGAAGGACACTCGTGTCACGAGCTCTGCAACGTGGCTGCTTTCGACTGCATGGGGGCCTCAAGCAAAGCCTAGTCCTCTCCTCTGCCTGATCCTTAGGGACGTAGTCTCGGTCGCTTTGCACTCTTGGCAGAGTGGATCTTTATGTACCAGTATCCAGCCATCCAGCCTCTGGAAAAAAGGAGGATGCCACTGTGATTTCCCTTGGATTTTGTGCCTAACTATTGCACAGTCTGATTCAGATAGGAATTTCTCCCTTGGGCTTTACCCTTCACTAAACTTGTGGAATTAAGTTACGCTTCTTTTCTGTTTCACTAGAGCTGTACTCAAGCAATTCCCCTGATTGTTTTTCCCATTCCCCTGTTTTCTTTCAACTGCGAAGCTTAAAACTGCAATTTGAAAGTTGTTTTAATTGTTTGGTCTAGGCTGTAATTCCATGGTCTGCAGCCTTAACGACTTGCCTCCTGACAAAGCACATGAAGCGCAGACACTGTCCTTGTGGGGTTTTATCTGTCAAAAAATCTGTGTCTCTGTCTCCTTGAAAGCACTCGAGAGGTGTTGTCTCCATAAAATACTGTTTTTTGGTGTTTGTTTGTTTGTTTTTTCCTTCCCTGCGAGTGGCTCAGCATGAAATGGAAGTTGCTGAGTTATGTATGTATGCGATGCAGATGCTCTGAATTGAGGAAGGGGCTCATTTACTTTATTCTCTTTATTCCCACTTCAACATGAAAGAGAGATGAGACTTTTGGGAAATTGGTATGTGAGAGGAACAATCCCAGAAAGGCAGTCTGAGGAAAGCACGTTTTCTGTGTCTGGAAGAAGGCGTGGAAGGAGAGGGAATAGATAATCCTGTTTCCTTTGATGATTTATCTGGCTAAACCCAGCAGATGGGACTTGCATTTTGCTCTTTTGTTCTCCATTGCTATGGATTGTCCAACTAGGAACTGGCTCCGTTGCTCCTAAGTCTTAAGTATTTTACCCTGTGAATGTGTGCTGTGTGTGTATGTGTGTATATGTTTGTGTGTGTTTTATTTATTTATTTATTTATTTATTTATTTATTTCACCTCCTTGCGGGAGTATGTATGATGGGAGGTAGCCGCTCATCTGACCTTGCTTGCATTTCCAGGGAGCCCTTGAACGTCACAGGAATGCAACACATTCTCCAAAAATGACCGTCCTGGTGTTAGCAGAAAAACTGAATGTGTTTAGCTGAAATGCCAGAAATTAAAAGGACCAGAATTTCTGGCAAAGCATGAGAATAGCTAGGCACAAAATGCCAGGTTGCTAATGGGAAACTGATGGCTCTTTCTGCAAGGTTGCATAGACTTTGTGGCTGATTAGCAGAAATTCGCTAAAATGACCCAGACAGGTGAGTGTGTTTTGCTGCCCCTGCTCTGTGTGTCTTTCAGCATTATTAACTCAGACCAAGCTGTAGTCTCGGCATATCAAAAGATTCAGGGCAGTCTGTATGTGCACAAGGGCTTTTTTTTTCTTTTTTTTCCTTTTTTTTTTTTTTTTTTTCTCTTGCGTGCAGGTGGGTTGCAGCTGGACCTTAAGGCAGAGCTACTCAGACGGGGCAGGAGAGGCTGCTCCTTGCTGTGTGTCCAGCTCGGCAGGTTCCCAGGAGAGGTTCCCCTCATGGGGCTTCCTTTCTGCTTCTGCAGTTCTAAGATCTGTGTTCTTAAAAAGGAACTTAGGAGCCTTTTTCTGAATTTTTAAAAAAACTACTAACGTTTTCTATTTTAACCTCTCACATGCTTCCATGTTCAAAAACCTACACATTATTTATGTTTGGGAGGGAACTACTAAATACTCCTATGTTCAGTACTGGCTGCAGACTGATGGATCTGCTCTGTTGTCAGCAGCAGCAAGTACACAGGGGCTTAGGCAACAAAACAAAATGATCTGCAGTCCCTAGTAAGTAGAAGAGATCCCATATGAGGATCTTCTGAATAACTCCAAAGTCTGTTTCTTACTGTCGTAAAAGCAGGGGGAATTTCAGCTTTTCTGGTGACAACTCTTGGAAAACATACAGCAAATGCTAAGACTGTAGTAGTCAGGGTGAATAAAAAGGGTAGTGAAGCTCAGGTACACAGTCTGATGTGGTTTTTTTTTTTTAAAGGGGCTGTGGTCAGGTCTGTAAAACTGCTGGTTTGCAAATTAACGTTGATTGCACCTAAACGAGTTGCAAATGACTGCACCCCTCCCCGGGGTGCGGAGAGGTGTGCGGTTCTGGTAAGTTATGTTGTTATCCATTGATTAAAGCGGGCTGATTTGGGGTGAAAATGTTGCTCCTCAGCGGGTCGTCTGCTCCTTCTTTTCTAGATGAGCTGAAGGCGCCCCTGGAAGAATATGTCAACAAGCGGTACCCAGGCCTGGTGAAGGTGGTTCGCAACCAGAAGAGGGAAGGCCTTATCCGAGCCCGTATCGAAGGCTGGAAAGCTGCCACCGGCCAGATCACGGGGTTCTTTGATGCCCATGTGGAGTTCACTGCTGGCTGGTAGGTGCTGGACCTCATCGTGTTAGTGTGCGTGAGAAACACTCCAGTTCAAAATTGTGTGAGGAGATCTCTGGCAACAGATCAAATGCATTACTCATCCTATCTTTAGTAGGCATGGTGGTGATGGGTTTGTGTTTGGACTTGATGGTCCTAAAAGTCTTTTTCAACCCGAGGAACCACCCCAGGAAACTCTGTCCTTGCCCTTCTTCTCTGTAGTCATTCTTCTCCATCTTTTTACATGCCCCCGACACATGCTTCATTTGTGTTTTTGTGTTGATTTTCCACTTCATGAGCCCCAAGTAATTTCTGGAAGATAAAAAGAAAAAAATAGAAAAAACAAAGAAAAAAGTAAGAAAAGATCAGACAAAGGGTTGAAAGAGCTTTCTCTTTCCTGATTCCTTGTTCTGCAGCTGGATCCCACTGGGAATGGCTTGTGTTTTAGACTGATTTGTTTCTTCTGCAGCTAAGAGTAAGTGCAAAGGTGCAGAAAGAAAATACTCTGTGTTTAGAAACTGGAGGTAGAAGAGGCTCTCCTGTATGTGATTTGAACAGAGAAAAACATCCTCAAGAAAGAGTCCTGCAAAGGAGGAACTCTGGGCAGTTACTGGATTCTTCCTAACACTGATGCAGCTGAAGGGCACATTTAGTAGGCTGTTTCTTATGTTGATACCTGCATTCCTGTCTAAATGTTCCTCTTTTCAGATCATTAAGTTTTCCAACCCGATATTATTGATATGCTAAGGAGCTACAGTTTACTGAACTGTTACAACAGCTCTTTCTAGGGATAGACATTGAGCTTTTCTGCAGCGTGGACTGGACTCGCTCTGCCTCGCTTTCCCAGGAGGCATCAAGAGCGAAGTGGCCCCTTGAGGTGGCAGGTTGGGCCCTGTTTGGTCAGTGGCCCCTGGGCTCTTGGGATGGCTGGTCTGCTCTGAACACATTTGACTGAAGGGGAAGAGGAGGCCTAGAGCTGCATTTGGAGGTCATGGAGTCTGTATGTGGATTCTAGAACAGTCTTTCAGGAAAGAAGTGGTAGTAGACTTTGACCCGTTTTGCCCAGGATTATTTTTTGGACTTGAGGAAAGCTCAGGCTTGATAAATCACAGTTCAGACAACCAAAAAACACGTACTGGCCTGCTTTGCAGTAGAGAAGGTTTTAAGCCAGGCTTCCTATGGTTCTCCAGCAAAATATGGGCTGCATTTTCATGCAGGGGGTCTATCTGTGTGTGAAAGCAGTTACCCTATAGATGCACATCTGCATTTTGCAGAAAATCACTGTCCATATGCAATAGAGGTACCCAAAGAGCAGCCATGCTGTGACAAACCAAGGGCTTAAGTAGCCTGCTGTTATATCACTAGCAATATCCAAAATCCTAGGAAATATGCAAGAACAGGAGTGGGGCGTATGGTATTCTGTGGAGTACTCTACCGGCCTCCAGCTATTTGCAGATGTGAGAGTGTCTTGGCTTCCAAGTGCTCAACAACCCTTCTTGTATTCACTGTGAGCTTTTATCTCCCCTTGAGCTTGCATAAACTTTTGACATTCACAGCATCCTTCGGTGAGGAGCTTCCCAGCTGAACTGCCAGCCTCTTTTTGTATATCCTGGAGCCTTCTGCCTACCTTTTTTATTTGATGGCCCAAAGCTCTTGTATGGGAGGAGTCACCAGGCACTTTTTCTGTGCCTGTCTACAGTCAGTCCATGCTGCAAAATTAGCTCTTAGTTAATGTACTGTTGTGGTTTTTTTTGTTATCTTAATAAAGATTTCAGGAACGCTCAGTTTGAGACTATGGATATTTATTTTGAATTAAAAAGTTAGTAATACAGAATTAATATTTAATGGTGCTTTTTAAGCCAGCATACTAGTGAAAACAGGGAGTACTAACTCTGCAGGAAAAGATAAGCTACAGCTTTGGAGGTTTTCATTCATTTCCATAGCTTAAGGTCTGAGTTTGTGGAAAATAGTTTTCTGCTTGCACTGATGGTCTCAGCTGGTCCCTGAATTTTGCATAGGGAGAGTCAGATTGCAAGAGAGCCATAAAGCTCTCCCCAGATATTTGGGATTTTGGCTGTTTAAGCTCTCAGTATCGTGCCTGTCCCTGCAGACAACTCACGATAGCTCCACACAAGATGTGTCCAGGTGGGAAATCCCATGAGGCGGAAGCACAGAAACCTCTTGCTGCATCTGTGTATGTTTAAATTAACAGTCCCTTCCTGCCCTCTGCTTCTTTCTGCCCCGTAGGGCTGAGCCAGTGCTCTCGCGCATTCAGGAAAACCGCCGCAGGGTCATTCTTCCCTCGATAGACAACATCAAGCAGGACAACTTCGAGGTGCAGCGCTACGAGAACTCGGCCCACGGGTACAGCTGGGAGCTGTGGTGCATGTACATCAGCCCGCCCAAGGACTGGTGGGACGCCGGCGACCCCTCGCTGCCCATCAGGTACGGCGTCGAGCCTGCTGACGGTGCCGAGGCCAGGGAGCCGCTCCAGAGCTGCTGGCCATGGTGCAGTGGCACAAGGTTGGGTTGTGACACTGACTGGTTGGGTTGTTACGCAAGCCAGGAAGGGGCACTTTGGGTTTTATGATGACGAGTGGATTTGGTACCATGCCGAAAACATTAGGGAGGAGCGGGAATTATGTAGAATTGTGCAACCCTACGTTTAACTGCGTATGGCAAAGTTGCTTTGCTTATGGAGCTGAACTTTTGCAGATCATTAGAAATAAGGTACTGATTCTCTTATAATAAATTAATATGTATGTTTAAAAGGAAAGCTGCTGTGTTTTCTCAAATAAAAATGTGTTTTATTTTAGGGGAGACTTGCTGTAAAAAAAAAAAAAGGAAAAAAAACTTATTCTAACGCTGGGGGTAATGTAATCAGTGAACTGTGCAACTTTGTTCCCTCATAGACTTTAGGCATGGGGTGGGCTGGTTTTGATAGAACATAAATAGAGAAATACCACAGTGTAGGCGGAGGACTGGAGTTGCTTCATGTGAGAAGTCCAATTATTTTCTATTGATAGCCCCTAATATCAAAGCGATGCTCTGGCCAGGAAGACTTTTCCACCCAGAAATGGAATATATTACTCTTAGCTTGATTAATATGGGGAAAACTTGTTCCAAGGCATGTAACAGATGCAGCTATACAAATGTATACCTGATCTAAATCCAAATACCTGTGCTTTGGTCAACAATTTAATCCCTGGGAGCTGCTGATGGATCTATTTGCATTTATACAGCAGCTTTTTTATTTCTCTGGGCTTTGCTTCCTTGCTCCAGGTGTCCTGTAGAGCTATTAGAGCAGGAAGGGGTGGTTTATGCTGGACAGGCATCAAGCCCTTGAGGGAGAGACAGTCGTTTTTAAGCACATGCAGGCTGCTGGAGTTGTTAAGGGAATGGATTGATGCCTGGGGTGTGCAGAGGTGAAGCTGAGCAGATGAAAAGCCTTTTCAGGTCGTATGTGAGCAGTGGGGCTGCAGTGCGACTTCCCTACGGACAGACTGGTGGCTCTGGAGGATCGTGAGAGTGGATGGTCCCAAAGAGGGGCTTTTTTCAGCCCATGGATGTGTAATTGGGGGAATTATTGCATGGAGAGGAAGACACCTTTACTAAGCTGAATGGTTGGGAGACACAGGCAGGCTTTGAGCATAAGGCCGTGAGACATGGCTTTAGGAGCTTCCTGACATTGAAAATGGCAGGTAGGAAGCACTGATGAAACTGGATCCCCTAAAATATAACACTTAGATGCTTGTCTTGACATTCTGTTGTGTTTCTCTTTGTAAACCTCTTTTGTAGCCGCAGCAGTTAAGAGAAGCAAGCTGGAGCAGAGACAGATCTGGAAGGGCAGACTCGTGTGTAGAAAAAGAGGGTGCCTAATGGTAGAGCGGAAGAGAAGAGGACGACAAAATGGTGGAAGGAGTGAGCATTGGAGAAGGGAGGGAGAGAGCTGTGGAAAGTGGGGAGAAATGGAAGGACAGCCTTTAAGAGAGGGGATGGTGAGTTTGGGACCTTGGCTAAGGCAAAGAAAAAGGCAAAAGTCAGCTGTGATTTGCTTGCAGAGATGGATGTGTTAAGGCAATGGGAAGCAGGTAATAATAGATACAAAAAGGAGCAAGGAGAGAGTGCTCAAAGTGCAAAGGCAGGACAGGTTGGAGGCCCAATCCCAAGGAAGAGATGGGGGGCAGGTGTCAAAGGGGAGTCGGACGCACCCTGGGCGTGCAGGCAGAGGAGGGGCCCTTTGCACGGGTGTGGGTGGCCCGCAGGGCCCTGTGTGGTGGAGGAGGCCGGGAGCAGGGCCGGGCCGCCCCGCGCACCCCTCGCCTTCTCCGTGCGCGGAAGC